AGGGCACAGGTTTGGGGTCTCGTGGGCTGGAGGGGCTCCCTTTCCTGTTGTTCAGCCCTGCTGTCTCCCTCCCTCTATGCAGACTTGGGTGAAGTCTTGGCCTACGTCTCTCACACCCTAAGCTGCCACCGCAAGGGTATGAGGGTGAAACCGTTGATGAAGAGGCTGCTGAAGGAGCATGGGGTGGACCTGTTGGCATTCAGCCAGGACGGGGGGTACCAGGGAGTCGTGTCCTTCCTGCAGGAGGTGCCGGGTATCGAACTCTGGAACCCCGAGAAGGGAGAGAAGTGTCGTGTCCTGAGCTGTACCTTTAAGAAGAGTGAGTGAGGAGATGGTTTCTTGTAGGGCTGCCCCAGCCCGGCCCCCTTCTTGAGCGGGGAGAGAGCCCGTGGCCAATGGCACACTGGCCTCGCTGCACCCTGCTGTGTCTGCCCAGTGCATGCTGGGGAAATCTGGCCAATGGCTTCTGTGCAGCCAACTTTGTCTGCCCCAGAGCAGGCTGGGAAAACATGGCCAATGGCCTGTCTGTATCATGCTGCCCAGTATCTCTCATGGTGTCTCTCTCTTGCCAGACATTGCAGACCCTCTGCCACTACTCTGCAGCACCCTGGGCTCCTACCCCAATGGCCTGCGGGTCTTCAGCCTGCGGAAGGCCATGTGGCAAAGGCACGGGGTGAACTTGGAGGAGTTCAGCCAGCAACAGGGATATCTGAACACCCTGGACTATCTGACCAGACTGTGTGGGATCAGGCTGCAGGGGCTGGAGAAAGGGGAAAAGTGTCTTGTCCAGCTTCAGAAGGGTGAGGAGAGAGGGATGGGGTCCAGGTGTCAGGGCTTAACTGGTCTTGCATAGGATGAGGGCAGGTTATCCTACTGCTAACACCAATGGGCATCCTGCACCTTCCTCTGAGGCCCAACGGACTATATGGCCCTTTGGGCTCCCTCCCCCATGAGATTTCATCTCCCATGATGCACTGTGCTGCTGCCATCATGCACCGCCTTCCCCCACCAAGACTAGAAGCCATGGTGCATTGTGGGAGATGTAGTCCGACCAGGAACCCTGGGCTGTAGAGGAGAATGGGAGCCACGAGGCATCTGAACTACAACTCCCATGAGGCACCGTGGTGACTTTTCTAAATTGAGGTAGCTCACTGAAAACTTGAAATTTTCTAGGGACAATCTGGACCTTTTTGCCTCATGTTTACTTGACAGGAGTGACTCTCTTCCCCCCCCTTTTTTTTGGGGGGACAAAAATGACTTTTTTCCTCACTCTTTTTTTTGACGTCTGCCATTTTTTCTCTGATTTTTGACAAAAGCGAGGTTTTTCCTTCCATATTTTTTTGACAAAAATGACATTTTTCCATCTGTTTTCTTGACAAAAGTGACTTTTTTACCTCATGTTGTTTGGCAAAAGCGATTTCCCCCCCCCCCACTCCCCGCTCTGTTTTTTTGAGAAAAGCTGCTCCTTTTTTCTCAGGTTGGCTTGATGAAAATGACCCCCCGCCCCTTCAAGTTTTTTGACACGTGCAACGGTTTTCTCTCAGATTATTAACAAAAGAAATGTTTTCCCGCAGCGTTTTTGGAGAAAAATGGCTCCTTTCTTCCTCCACTTTCTTCGCAAACGGCGACATTTAGTTCCCTCGGGCCTGGTCTACCCGTAAAACGTCGGTGGACGGAGCAATGACCTGCGGGGGTGTGAACAAGCCGCGCTCCGGAGCCCCGCAGCCTCGCCGCCCCGGCCCCGGTGTAGACTCGGCCAGGCGGAGGCTGAATGTGCCCGTGGCCGCGGTTCCCATTATTCGGGGAGTGGAGGTCCTCCCGCAAACCCCCGTTCTGGGGCTGTAACTGGTGCGGCAGGGGTACAGCGCCACAGACGCGGCCCCACGGCTGGGCTGCTCGGGCGCCCGTAGTGTAGACGTGGCCTCAGGGGTTTTCGGACAAACTCGAGTGTTTTTTTTTTTCACTCTGGTGTTTGATGAAAGCCTCCGTTCCCTGCAGTTTTCTTCACCCAAGGGACTCTGTTCGCGCTTCTTGGGGGCACAAAAATGTCTTTTTCTTTTTCCTTTTTTCTGTTTCTTTTGACCAAAAAAAGTGGCAGGAAAGGAGGACGGCACAGCTGGGCCTGTGCCCAGTATGAGGGATAGCCGTGCCTGGTGGGGGGAGCTGGGGGAGGGGGCCGTGCCTGGTGGGGGGAGCTGGGGAGGGGGATGTGCTTGGTGGGGGGAACGGGGAGGGGAGGGGACATGCCCGGTGGGGGGGAGCTGGGGGAGGGGAAGGCATCTTGTCCGGTGGGGATAGCTTTGGGGGGAGGGGGACGTGTGGGGGCCAGCTGTACTTGTCTTTTCACGCCCACTGTGGTGGTCTTGTTTCTTCTCCCCTCCTTCAGGTGCCGCTGTGAAGCCCCCTGCCCCCCAGCCCCCCTCTGCTCCCCCATCGGCCCGGCACAGCAGCAGCCCCCCGCCCGATGCCCCTGCCCCCCACTCGCGGTCTGTCGACCAGGGGCCGACGGGAGCCCCGGGGGAGACGCCCGGTGAGCAGCTTAGCCGGCTTCTCAGCAAGGCCGCTGCGTGTGGGGCGCGAGCCTGGGCGGTGAGACCTCAGCCCAAGCCAGGCCCCCCAACGCCACCCCTGCATCACCCTGCAGCCTGAACTCCCCTCTGCTCCTCCAGGGAAGGGCTCTGTGGGGCTTGGCGCCTGGGCTCTTTCCTTTGCCCATCTCGGGGGGCACGTTGGGGCAGGGCACGTTTGGGGGGAGATTGTGGGGGGGGGTGGCTGTGTTGGTGGGGGCTAGGTGTGTGGCATCATTGCCATTTGTGGGAGGCATCTTCGGGGGGCTGTCGGGTTTATGTTGGTGGGGGGGTGGGGATGGAGGGAGCAGGTTGGTGGGATGGGGGGTTGTGGGGGAGATGGGGATGGAGGGAGCAGGTTGGTGGGATGGGGGGTTGTGGGGGAGACGGGGATGGAGGGAGTAGGTTGGAGGGGTGGGGGGATGTGCAGGGGGCTGGGGATGGAGGGAGCAGGTTGGTGCCATGGGGGGGCTTTGGGAGGGAGCTGGGAATGGGGGGGGCTGTGGATGGAGGGAGCCCGTGGCAGGGGTACAGGGATTGGCTGGGGGGACATACTGGCAGCGAACTGTGAGGAACGGGGGGCAGCCTGTGGGGTGCCCTGCTGGGCCCTGCCCCTGCTCTGGGGATGCCCAAGGACTCAGGCCCGTGGGGCTGCCAAACTGCCCCTCACCCCCAGCGCCGGGTCTGCACCCACAGGGTGCCCCATGGCGGGGGGGCTCTCAGCTGGCGCGGGCTCTCACAACCCCCTCTTCCTTCCTCCCCCCCGCCCCCGGTCTGGTTGCAGACTTGGCCGAGGTCTTGGCCTGTGTGCGGGATGTGCTGGGCCGCTTCCCGCTGGGGCTGAAGGTGGGCAAGCTGAAGGAGGCGCTGCGGAGCGAGCGCGGGCTGGACCTGGAGGAGCTGAGCCGTCAGCGGGGCTGCGGGGACGCCCTGCACCTGCTCCAGGCTCTGCCCCACCTGTGGCTGGGGGACCCGGGCAAGGGTGATGCCTGCCTGGCCCGGCTGAGCACGGGTAGGGGGGCAAGCGGCCGGAGGGGTGGGGGGCAGTTAGGCCGTGGAAGGTGGGGGAGGACGTGTCTATGGGGGAGCCCTGCTCCGTGGGAGAGGGGGCAGGGCATGGCTGGGCCTGTGCCCAGGGAGTGGGGGTTCCTGGGGTGTGGGGAGGCTGCTCCTGGTGTGGGAGGCATGGGTGGGCCTGCTGCAGGGCAGGGGGCCATGCCCAGTGGGGGGAACTTGCGGGGGGGGAGGGAAATGTGGCCGGTGGCAAGAGGAGGGGGAGGGGGATGTGCTTGGTGGGGGGAGCGGGGAGGGGACATGCCCAGTGGGGGGAGCTGGGGGTGGGGATAGCTTTGGGGGGAGGGGGACGTGTGGGGGCCGGCTGTACTTGTCTTTTCACTCCCACTGAGGTGATCTTGTTTCTTCTCCCCTCCTTTAGGTGCCACTGTGAAGCCCCCTGCCCCACAGCCCCCCCCAGACCCTGCTGCCCCATCGGCCTGGCACGGCAGCGGCCCCCTGCCCGATGCCCCTGCACCCCCCTTGCAGCCTGCTGACGGGGAGCCCAGGGGAGCCCCGGGGGAGACGCCCGGTGAGCAGCTTAGCCGGCTTCTCAGCGAGGCCGCTGCGTGTGGGGCATGGGCTTGGGTGGGGAAGCCTCAGCCCAAGCCAGGGACCCCCAATGCCACCCCTGCATCGCCCCAGAGCCTGAGCTCCTGTCTGCCACCCCGGGGAAGGGCTCTGTGGGGCTCAGCGGTTGGTCTCTTTCTCCAGGGTGGTCCAATAAAAGAGATTCCCTTGCCCATCTCGGGGAGGCTATGGGGCAGGGCACATTGGAGGGAGATTGTTTTGTGGGGGGGTTTGGGGCTTTGTTGGTTGGGCCAGATGTGTGGGTGCCATGGGCATTTGTGGGGGGCATCTTGGGGGGGACTGTCGGGGGAGATCATTTTGGTGGGTGGAGGGGCTGTAGAGGGGGCTGGGGATAGAGGGAGCAGGTTGGTGGGGTGGGGAGTTTGGGGGGATGGAAATGGAGGGAGCCCACGGCAGGGGTACAGGGGTTGGCTGGGGGGACACACTGGCAGCAGAGTGTGAGGAGGGGGGCCAGCCTGTGGGGTGCTCTCCTGGGCCCTGCCCCTGCTCTAGGCATGCCCGAGGACTCAGGCCTGTGGGGCTGCTGAACGGCTCCTCGCCCCCAGCGCCGGGTCTGCACCCACAGGCTGCCCCATGGCAGGGGGGCTCTCAGCTGGCGCGGGCTCTCACAACCTCCTCCCCCCCCCCGCTCCCCCTCCGGTCTGGTTGCAGACTTGGCCGAGGTCTTGGCCTGTGTGCGGGATGTGCTGGGCCGCTTCCCGCTGGGGCTGAAGGTGGGCAAGCTGAAGGAGGCGCTGCGGAGCGAGCGCGGGCTGGACCTGGAGGAGCTGAGCCGTCAGCGGGGCTGTGGGGACGCCCTGCACCTGCTCCGGGCTCTGCCCCACCTGTGGCTGGGGGACCCGGGCAAGGGTGATGCCTGCCTGGCCCGGCTGAGCGCCGGTAGGGGGGCAAGCAGCCGGGGGGGAGGCAGCTAGGCCTATAGCGGGAGATGCAGCTGGGGCCATGCACAGTGTGGAAGGTCGGGGAGGACACAGCTGTGGGGGGGCTGTATTCTGTGGGGGGCGGGCAGCACGTGGCTGGGCATGTGCCCGGAGGGTGGGGGTTGCAGGGCACAATTGAGGTTATGGGCTGTGAGGAGGCCATGCCTGGCAGTGGGAGGCATGGGTGGGCCTGCCCCGGGGTGGGGGGCCCTGTGCCTCACATGGGGGCCTCATGCTCTCACTCCATATAGGGGCTGTGTTATTTCTTTTCCCCTCCTCATCAGATGCTGCTGTTAATGCCCCTGCCCCCTCCCGGCCTGCTGAGGCGGGGGGGTGGGCGCTGCAGGCCCAGCGAGGCAGAGGCGGGGCCAGCGGTGGGTGGCAAAGCCCGGTGCAATGGAGGCGTTGATCCGGGGCGCCCTGGCCCCCTGCCCCTTTGGTATGCGGGTGAAGAGCCTGAAGAAGCTGCTGGCGGGGAAGTATGGAGCCAAGCTGGAGGCCTTCAGCCAGGCCAGAGGCTACAGGGACGTGGTCTCCTTCCTGGGGGACGTCCCGGGACTCACGCTCCGGGACCCAGAGAGGGGCAACAACTGCATCGTGCAGCTCCAGAGAGGTAGGGAGTGCGGCCCGGAGCCAGGCTCACCAAAATGAATCCCCCGACAGTCCCCCCAAGATGCCCCCCACAAATGCCCATGGCACCCACACAAAATGTGACGCCAACCTGGGACCCTGACTTACTCCACTCTGCCCTGTTGTTACCTGCACGCATTAGGGCACCCCACCTTTTCCCAGGCCGTAAGGCTCCAGGTGAAAAGCATCTACCCGTATCCAATCCGTAGGGCTCCGGGTGTAACTAACCGGGTCAATTTAAGTACCCACACCCTTTCCCAATACGTAGGGCTCCGGGTGTAACTACTTCTGCAGGTGAAAGAGCTTTACCCAGTAATATCCTACGTAACCTCTATTAACAATCGCCAAAACCAGACGGCACACGCTACTCATACAGTGCTCACCACGCTCAATACGACAGGGGAACTTTTCTTGATGGCTGGTCCGGATCAGGCCCATCGGGGGGGCTCCAGTTTCTGCCCGGTGTCATTGGCAGAGCGTTGAGGTCTGGCAGCTCTGATCTCTGGGGCTGTGTCCTGGAGTTGGTTCCCAAAGAACTTCCTTTTGGACCCCAGTTTATACAGTGAAACTCGAGCCCTGCTTAACCATATCTTAACCAATCGTTATACTGAAATCTATCTAACCAATCCTAACATAGTGTAACCAAATTCTCTAACCAATCCTACCCCACCACCTTAATTAATTTACACCTAGCAAAATTAATTATGTAGCAGAGAGAAACAATCAGAGAACCAGACAGACCACACAGACAAACAATAGGGAAGCGGGGACCATAATGACAGAACAATAACGAAATGAGGAGTTCACAACCACAGCTATTGAGAAGTGATTTCTTGCCAGACAGGACGCTGTCAAACTCCGTTTTCTTTAACCATCTCAAGATCTGTTTCTTTATCTGGTGACAGTGGGGGCCATTAGGCCGGGGTCTCCGTCTTAGCAGCCTGGTATGACATTGTTTGAATGTCCTGTAGATGGAAACTGAGGATTTGACTTCCTGCTTCTCAGCTAATGGCTGCTGCTCGGCTGCTCTTTTAATCTGGCGGCAGACGAAGGCCTTCTCCTTACACTCTCACCCCTTCACCTGTCCCCAAGACGACCCCTGGCAGGCCAGGGGCGTGGCTGGCATGTTAGGGTTCTGGGTGGCCAGTGAGGGCCCCATTCTGCCCTCTCCGGGGTCCCCGCATCCCCACGCAGCTTCCTGACCCGGGGAAGCAGCTGCCGGCATCCCCCCAGAGCAAGGGGTGGCCGTCAGCTGGGAGGCCGGGGAGCGGGACCCAGAACCTGCTGCCGTGCCGGAGAGAGGTAAGGTGATCAAATGTGGAAAATCAGGAGATTTTTTTTGGGGGGGAGGGTAAAGCCCCTAATATTGGGATGTCTGGGCACCCTAGAGAGAAGTGAGGGGGCTGTGCTGGGTTGGGGCGGGGAGGAGTAGCCCAAAGGGCTGCGTTGCCTTTGTTATATTCACCTGCAACCTACAGGCCTGTATCCATAGAGAAATGGCCCCACACTTGCCCTTCGGTTTTGGGGACCTCGGACTCTAAACCGCCGTGGCAGGAACAGGGAAGTGGTAACCACAAAACCCGTTGGAGCCGGGGTGCGCTGATGAGTTAAAATGCTATCAGCCCTGTCCCTCCCCTTGCCAGATTTCACAGGCAAGGTCTGATTTCACGGTCCGTGACACGTTCTTCATGGCCATGAATTTGGTAGGGCCCTACCTATTGGATAAGTACACCTGATGAAAAGGGTGAGGAAGTTCGATTTTGGCCCAGAAGGCCGTGTACTCGAATGAATCATAGACCTGGAAGGGATCTCGAGAGGGCATCTTGTCCAGTCCCCTGCACGCATTGCAGGACTAAGGATTATCTAGACCATCCCTGACAGGGGTTTGTCCAACCTGCTCTTAAAAATCCCCAGTAATGAAGATTCCACAACCTCCCTGGGCAACTTATTCCAGTGTTTAGGAAAAACTTCCTGTCAGTGGTTAATGTCCAGCCTAACCCCCACTTGCTGCAATTTAAGCCCATTGCTTCTGGTCCTATCCTCAGAGGTTAACGAGAATTTTCTCCCTCCTTCTTGTAACAACCTTTTATGGACTTGAAAACTGTTATCACGTCCCCTCTGACTTCTCTTCTCCAGACTAAACAAACCCGTGCTTTTTTCAATCTTCTCTCGTAGCTCATGTTTTCTAGACCTTTCATCATTTTTGTTGCTCTTCTTTGGACTTTGTCCAGTTCGTCCACATCTTTCCTGAAATGTGGCGCCCAGAACTGGACACCATGCTCCAGTTGAGGCCGAATCAGCGCGGAGCAGAGCGGAAGAATCACTTCTCGTGTCTTGCTTACGACACTCCCGCTAATACAGCCCAGAAAGATGTTCGCTTTTTTTGCAACAATGTGACACTGTTGACTTGTATTTAGCTTGTGATCCATTCTGACCCCCAGACCCCTTCCCACAGTACTCCTTCCTAGGCCGTCATTTCCCATTCTGTATGTGTGCAACTGATTGCTCCTCCTAAGTGGAGCACTTTGCATTTGTCCTTATTGAATTTCATCCTGTTTACTTCAGACCATTTCTCCTGTTTGTCCAGATCATTTTGAATTTTAATCCTGTCCCCCAAAGCACTCACAACCCCTCGAAGGGTTATTCATGATAGTGCTCGGGCCCTGTAATAGGGCCAACCGCTGTGTGGAGGGGGCTAGCTAGCTGTCTCTTGGGCCTTCAGCTCTGATGTTATCTGCTGTCCTTCTTGAGCGTTGAGGAACCTGGACCATCAGACCTTTGTCTCTGCTCTCCATGCCCTTGAGGAAGGGTGTGAGCATGCAGATCTAGGAGTATGATACTCCAGGTATCCCCAATAGTGTATTGTTCCTATCTCGTTATGAGCTTTTCTGGCTTTATTACCGATCTTAATCAAAATCGCTGTGGCTTTGCTTTTCCCCTGGTGCGAGTGTCCTTGCCAGACACTCCGAGGTTCCCGCCAAGGTATCAAACTCCGTGGTATTAGCCTGGTTCTGGGACAAGAACCTTATTCCCGCCGGATCAACTGGCCATCGGTACAAGTATTGTTAACGTTGAATAGGATCGGGCGACGCTCCCCACATGGGTGTGTATGGTGGGCCAAACCGATCACCCCAGATCCCAGGGATCGGGGTTGGAGAGGGGGTGCAGATCCGAATGGGCCAGAATCCAAGGAATAGCTATCGGCCAGTGAGAGGGTGTGTAGGGGCTGCCCCCTAGTGGAGGGTAGGGGAATTGTAGCCTGTGTGCTGGAAGAAGTGGGGTGTAGCTGGTTTTCCCCCTCCTACCGTAGGACATGAGAAACTCGGATTCATCCCTTCCTGGTTCCCTGGAGCCAGCCCGTCCCTGCCCTTGCGCTGGATGGGAGCTGGCGCCCCCTAGAGGGGAAAAAGCCCCATCCCTGACCGTGGCGATCTTTCTTCTCTCGTCCTCTCTGCAGGCGAGACTGAGGTCCTGATGCTGCTCAAGTGCTTGCTACGCCCATACCAGTCTGGCCTGCGGCTGCAGAAGGTGCAGGAGGTGCTGCTGGAGAGACACAGGCTGGATCTGAAGCGGTTTGTCAGCTCCCAGGGTGAGGAGGACGTGCTGGGATTCCTGCAGAGGCGCCTGCCCACGCTGCAGCACAGGCAGGCGGAGAAGGGGGAGAATTGTATCGTCTGGCTGGGGACAGGTACGACGGGGCGGTGGAGGGGACGGGACAATAAATCCCACTCAGAGCTGGGAACAGAACCCAGGAGTCCTGGCTCCCCGCCCCTCCCCTCCCTGCTCAAACCACTAGGCCCCCACTCCCCTCCCGGAGCCAGGGAGAGAACCCAGGAGTCCTGGCTCCCCCTGGACCAGCAGTCAGAACTCCATTCCACAGGCCAGAGCCCCGCCCCTCGCTCTCCATGGGGCCATCGGGGGTAGCTGAGACCTGGATTCCTTATTGTCTGTCTCCCCGGCTGTGGGGCAGGCTGCGGGGCTCCCCACACCCACCCATGGCGTATACCTGCCTTTGCTCCAGTGCATTGTGGGAAAAGTCCAGGCAGGTCCGGAGCGGGATGCAGGCAGAGCGGTAGCTGCCGTGCATGCTGGGGGATGCCATGTGCCTGTTACCCTCCCTGACCTGATGGCACTTTTCCACCCCACCCCACCCCCAGGGCAGAAGAAAGGCTCTGGATCTTTGCCCCCTGACAGTGTCCGCCCTCTGCCCGGCTCCAAGAGGTGCCTCCTCCCAACGAACGCTGCAGTGCACCCGGCCCCACCCGCCACCGACTGCCTCAACCCTCGGCTGCCCAGTGCTACCACCAACCGACCTCTGCTTCCCAGCCTGCCCTCGGGCCGGGAGCCCTTCCGCGCCCCAGCTGTCCTGGGCAAGCTGGGAAAATCCCCAAGGGCCAACCCCCGCCTCCCAGCCTGGTTACTGAGCCCACCCCGGCCCACCGGCGCCCCCTTGGCCCTGCGAGCAGAGGAGGGGACCCAGGAGTCCGGGGCCAGGCCTGCCAGCGCCCCCTTGGCCCTGCGAGCAGAGGAGGGGACCCAGGAGTCCAGGGCCAGGCCTGCCAGCGCCCCCTTGGCCCTGCGAGCAGAGGAGGGGACCCAGGAGTCCAGGGCCAGGCCTGCCAGCGCCCCCTTGGCCCTGCGAGCAGAGGAGGGGACCCAGGAGTCCGGGGCCCAGCCCCCTGAGGACCTGAGGGAGCTGAAGCAGAAGGTGGGGGCCATCCTTGCCGGGTACCCCAGGGGCATGTCCCTCTTCCAGTTCCGTGCCGCATACAGCGCTGCCCACCAGCACCCACTGCCCCTGGGCCGCACGGCCTCCACCAAGCAGCGGCTGGCGCAGATGCCCGACGTGGTGCGGATGCAGGGCTGCGGGGTGCAGATGCTGCTGCTGCCAGTGGACCCCAACGGACCCCCCGGGGGAGAGCCTGGTATGTAACGGGGGGGCAGCTGCCTTGCATGGTGCGGGGGGGATATTGAGGGGCTGGGCTGGGTCCCCCACAAGGGGTGTGTGATTGCGGGGGGGGTCAGGCTGGGCCACTCTGTCATTTTGTGACTGGCTCGGCCAGTCCTCCTCCTCCTCAGCTCTCCCTGTGGCGGGACATCTCCCACAATGCCCTGCTGGTGCCGCTCACTGTGTGGCCCACCCCAGAGCAGCCCAGACCTTCCCAGAATGCACTGGGGCATAATGTACAGCAGGGCGGGATGTTTCCCAGCATGCATTGCTGGTGCTGCGCTGCATCCCACTGTCTGAGGCACGCTGGGCATTTCCCAGAATGCACTGGGCAGGCAGCGCATCGATGGCGGGGCAGGACTCTGTCCCCCCCTGCTGGTTGGTCCGGCTCAGAGGATAAAAGCCTCCAACCGCTGCCGGTTGAGGGAGCTCCCCTGCCAGCCCAAGCACCGTCTAGCTCTGAGCTTGGCAGGCCCAAACCCTGCGGGCAGGGGCAGGGATGTGGTTCAGCCTTGGAGGTGGCACTGGGTCAGACCCGCTGGGTTGGCTCTGCCCCACTGTCAGTGGGATTTAACTGGGTTTGTTTTTCAAGGTCTTGCCCTGTGGATCCCGCAAGAAGCTGCTGCCCTGGCTGGGGACCCCGACGACCCATCTGACCCCCGTCCTGCCCCTGCTGTTTCTGATCCAGCTGGGGACTCCCATGTTCCTGCCAAGCCCTGTTCCACTCTGGCCAAGATCCCCCCAGCTCCCACCCTGACTGGGGACCCCAACACTCCAACTGAGCCCCCTCCCCTGCCTGCAGCTCCCACCCTGACTGGGGACCCCGACACCCCAGCTAAGCCCCTTCCCACCCTGGCCGAGATCCCTCCGGTCCTCACAGCTCCTGACCGAGCTGGGGACCCCAAAGTCCCAGTCAAGCCCCCTCCCACCTTCATGGATCCAAGACCGGGGCTGAGCTCCCAGGCCCTTCAGCGCCCAGAAGCCGCCAGACCTGAAGCCAGCTGGGAGTTACCCAACTTGGTGCCCAGTGCCCCCGTGGTTCTCCCAGCATTGGGGCCGGGCAGCAGCTCGTGGTTCAAGGTTGGGGCAGAGTCTCCCCCCACCCCGGGTGATCCCGGTGCTGCTGCTCGACCGGTCGTGTACCCTCCTCCCCAGGAGGTCCCCCCGGCCCCTACTGCAGGCCCAGAGCCGCCTTCCCTGTGCCCAGAGGCACTGGGGCCATCCCAGGCCCGGCTCAAGCGGGTCCAACTGGTGCCTCCCTTCCAAGACCACCCCTGGGCTGGGGATGCCCCTCGGGCACAGCCGGTCCTTAAAGCCCTGGGTCAGAACCAGGGCACGTCAGCAGCTGTGGGATCCCCTGTGGGCCCGATCCCTGCAGATCCATCCACGGGCCAGGCCATCTCCCCTGCTAAGCAGCTCCCAGTGGTGGCCCCGGATCCCCTCCCACCTCCAGATGCCAGTGTCTTAGCGACCCCCGAGCAGGGCTGGCCAGAGACCGGGCCAGGTGGAGATGTTGGCTCTCCTGTTGACCCCTTGCGGCGCTGCAGTCCGACACAGCTGGTCCCCTCTGCAGGGAGGACCCGGCCGGGCCCGTGGGGCGAGATCCCCTCCGCCCCACTGGCCCACTCACCGCCACGCAACACTGACACCTGCATTATCCTGTAGCCACCACTGGCAACTCAGGCTGGCGACTCTGGGGTGGAGCAGGTCGGCCTGCGGCCAACTCAGCACAGTGCCTGCAGGAGAGGTCGGGAAATGAACCCCTGTGATTTCCCCAGTAGGGGGCACTGGGGCATTTCTCCCCCCAGGACTTGATTGGGGAGTGACGATCTCTTTAGTGGGCTTGAAAACGTGGGCTCACAACTTTAAAGAAGTGGCCACTGACTATTTTGGCAGGGGAGGTGGCTTAACTTCAGGACTCCTAACTCTAGACCCACCCTGAGACCACCCCCCCCCCCCCCCCCCAGCTCCACCGAATCGCGAGTGCTTGGTGGTTCTGGAAACCAGTCGTGGCTTTTCAATCGCACGTTGCCCCAAACCGGTGGCCACTTCCTGAAAGCGGTGGCCAGCCACCGACGTCTCAGGGAAACCGCCCGTGGTCCCGCGTGCAGCATTTACATTTTATCCATTAAATTTTCTAAGAAGCGGCAACCAAAGCTCCCGTGTGGTTTGGTTTCGCCGGCGTCTCTTGAAGTGGCTGGGGCCTGTAACTCTTCGCTTGCCACGGCTTAGCCCGGCCTCCGCCTTTGTTCCGGCGTCCGAATTACTTCCGCAGTGCCAGCAGGTGAGCGCAGGGGCGTTGTTTTGCCGCTCTGTGCCTTGGTTTCCCCAAGCTGCAGGATGGGATTAATGATCGTGACCGGCTGGGTAAAATGTACAGATTGTTTTGACGTGTGCTGATGAAAAGCCCTTCCCAAGCTGGATGGGTGGGGGTGAGGGGTGTTTCCAAAATCTCCAATGCACAGGGGGGGAGGCCTTGCAAAATCTCCCACAATGCACTGGAGGGACAGTGTGAAGGGGAATCAATTGTCCATCCCCCTCGCTCCCCCCCCCCTCCCCCGCCAGGGGCCCTGCCCAAGACTGAGTATCCAGGCCCCCCCCCGTCCACTGTCCCCAAAGACAGTGTCTGGCCCCCTCCAAGACAGTTCACCACTCCCAACACAGAAATATTGGTGTTTACGGCCCCCCCATCCCTGGGGCATCTGTCCCATGCCCCCCAGCCCCTTTTCTCCCCCCTCTTTTTCTCCTAGGGCCCCCCATATTTCCATTGCACAACACCCCCCTCCCCCTCTGAGCATCTCAGCATCCTTCCCCCAAATCTACCCCCCCACCCATGGGTTCAGCTTGATTTAGCCACAGGGTACTCCAGGCCCTGCCTATTGCACATGTATGGGGGGGAGCCAAACGGGGGGGGGGGGGGTTGAGCTGCTCCCTAGCCTCCCCCATGGGTGTTTGAGGGGGCTGGGGAGGGACTCATCTAGCTGCCCACCCCCAAGTTCCACTCTGGCAGAGATTCCCCCCCAGCTCCCCCAAGAGTCAGAGCTGGGGGGGGGGGCTTTTCCTACCAACCATCTCTGCTAAGCCAGGGCGGCTCTGGCTGGGGGGAGGAGTCTGAAGATGGGGGGGGAAGGGGAGGCAGTGCCCCCCCTCCCCCGTGGTCATGGGACAGGTTCAGGAGCTGGGCTGCGGGGGGAGATAAGGGGGGGAAGAAGCTGGGGTGGGGCTCTTTCCCATGGATCCATTGCCCCCCACCCCCACCTGTCGGCCATCTTTGCTGTGGGCAACATGGTCTCAGATTTCCACCGTCCCCCTTTCAGGCAGCGGGTTCTAGAGATTCCCTTCTTGGCTCAGGGCATGGGCCTGTGAGTTGTTTCACTGGGGAACAGAAAGAGATGGTCCAAATCTTGCATTTTCTGCCCCCTGGCGCCATCCCGTTTGCTTGCAAGGAGGGCGCGCCGAATCCCGTTTCCCTGGGCACGGCGCCTGTCTCCTTCCTCACCATGTCAAGTCCACCTTCCCCGTGGGTTCTGGGCCCCCCACAAGCTCACTTTTTGCTGTCTTGCGCATGCCGCTTGCTAAACCAGCCTGTAGCCCCTGGGTTAGTTATTGCTGCCTTGGGCGCTGGCTTCTTTTGTTTACAGTATCGCTGTGTAAAGATGGGATTTAATTGCTCCTTCTCTATAAGTCAAAGCCCAGCTTCATCATGTCTAAACCCAGACGGGACCATTGGGATCACCTAGCCCGATGCAGGCCATAGGGTTGCCCCTGTGGAAACTAGAGCAGATCTTTTAGGGAAAGGGCCTGTCTTGATTTTAAAATGGCTACTGATGGCATCGGTCAGTCAGCGGTTAATTGCCCTCCCCTGGGAACAATTCACACCTTCTTCCCAGTCTGGATGGGTCTGGCTTGATTATCCCATTTCCCTTCCCCATGGGGGGCCTATATATGGGACCAAGTCCCTCTAACCCCTCCATCTCTCTGCACAGCCAGGAGGCTGGACCCAGGCATGTGGAGCAGAGAATCTCTCGGGCAGGGGGTAGGCGAGCTACTGCGCCTTGGGAGCACAATACCACCCCCCCGGCCCAAACACTCCTGCTAACGGCTGCACCCTGGGATTGAACCCCCAACCCTGCGAGTACCAGCTAGAGGAACTGCCCCTGAGCTGGGCGCATCGGGCTCCACGCAGAGCAGCCACTGGAGGGTGCTGGGGTATCGGGGGCGGGGGCTCGAGGGTGAGTTTGTGGGGGCAGGTTCAGGGGAGCAGGTCTGTGGGTGAGTTTAGGAAGAAGGTTTGGAGGAGGGGTCCCGAGGGTGAGTTTGGGGGGGCAGGTTTGGGGGAAGGGGCCTGTGGGTGAGTTTGGGGGGGCAGGCTCGGGGGAGGAGGGGGCTGGACAGCACAGGAGCAGGCTCGGGGGAGGAGGGGGCCCAAGGGTGAGTTTGTGGGGGCAAGCTCGGGGGTGGCAGGATCCACCCGTGCCAGCCCGACCAGTCCGTCCAGTTCGGGTTACGTGGGTGCCGGGGCCCAGGGATTCCTGGTAACAACCACCCGGCTGCCTGGCCCTGCGCCCGGCCCCCGCCCAGATCCGGGACGCTGACGCTGCCGGCTCGGTGCCTGGGGCTGCCAGGCAGGCGCTGCCCCCCGCCCCAGGGGGTGACAGAGCTTTTAGCCCTAGAGCAAACCTCCAGATCCCGCGCTCCGGCCTGGAACACCCCTTGCCCCATAGATACACATGGGGGTGTGCGGCCGGGGTTAGGCCCTGCATCCCCAGCTCTGCGAGGGGAGTGGGGGCTAGTGGTTACAGTGGGGGGGGCTGGGAGCCAGGACTCCTGGGTTCTCTCCCTGGCTCTGGGAGGGGAGTGGGAGCTCATGGGTAGAGTCGCGGGGGCTGGGAGTCAGGACTCCTGGGTTCCCTTTTGACTCTTTACTGGCCTCCTTTGCACAGCCCTGGAGGGCCCCCCCCCCCCCGCTGCCAACTGGGGGGTGATTATTCGGTGCCACCCCAAGGCAAAGCGTCCCCGGCCCCATTTGTTACCCACCGCCCGGGTGCCATCCCCGCCCCCACCCTGTTCGCTCAGCGGGCAGGGTGAGGGCCCAGCTGCCTTCCCCTTTAACTGGCAGCTCTGCCCTTCCTGGGCCACTTCCCAGGAACTCCTGTGCCCAGCTCCAGGGCCTGCCTGGGGCGGGCCGGGGCGGGCCCTCCGGAGCCCGTGGGGAGGAGTGCAGCCTGCGGAATCATTAACAGGGACGGGACAGAGCGCGGGAGGGAGGATATGAACCCGGATCCCTGGGGCAGGTAGGTGTGGGCTGCAATGGTTAGAGCAGGGAGGGTGGGAGCCAGGACTCCTGGGTTCTCTCCCTGGCTCTGGGAGGGAAGTGGGGGCTAGTGGTTAGAGCAGGGGAGGTCTGGGAGCCAGGACTCCTGGGTTCTCTCCCCGGCTCTGGGAGGGGAATGGGGGCTAGTGGTTAGAGCAGGGGTGGGGTTGGGAGCCAGGACTCCTGGGTTCTCTCCCCGGCTCTGGGAGGGGAATGGGGGCTAGTGGTTAGAGCAGGGGTGGGGTTGGGAGCCAGGAGTCCTGGGTTCTTTCCCTGGCTCTGATAGGGGAATTGGGGGCCTGGGCTCCATTATGGCTCTTTCCCGGTTTCTCAATTTTACGAGATTAACCCCTGGCAGGTCCAGTTCTGTTTGTTTGCAGGAAGCGATGCCCTGGTGATTAGCTTGTTCCTTCTTGGGAGCCTGGGGAGGGAAGGGGAGAGTCTATGATAGAACCCAGGCGTCCTGGCTCCCAGCCCCTCAGCTCAAACCACCAGACCCCATTTCCCTCTCAGAGCTGGGGAGAGAACCCAGGCTTCCTGGTTCCCAGCCCCCTCCACCCCCCCCCCCCGGCTCTAGCCATTGCACCTCACCCTCTGTCCAGTCCTGAGACCTATAACTAATAAAATGGAGGTGGGGAACCGAAAACCCACCCCTTGAACCTAATCTTATTGTGCCTTCTGCTGCGGCACCCTGCCGTGAACAGGGCGGTGGGGTGTGTCTCACTTCCCCAGAGCTGGGATCCTGCGCTGAGGCCTTGTCTCCCTCCCTCTAGGGCCTTCGAGCGGCAGAGCCCCCCAGGGCAGGAACCCAATTGCTGAGGGCTGGGTCTCAGGGGCACTCGCAGCCGCCGATCGGCCCAGGAGAGGTCCGTGCCAGCTGCCAGCCCGACAGAGGCACCCGTCTGCTTTAGACACTCTTCACTGTGGTATCTGGGGAAACTGAGGCACAGAGAGACCAAGGCCATAGTGCAGCAGGACCTTGAACTCAGGTCTCCCCAGTCTGCAGCTGCACCTCTGACCCATAGCCGAGCCTGCCTTCTGCTCCCCAGGCCAGACGGGGGTGGGATCCAGCTTTGAGGTGCCCCAGGACGGAGACACCCCCTGGTGTGGGGGTGTTTCCCTACAGATGTTGCTACCTCCTAGGACCGCACCGCCGGAGGTGCAGGGTGCTGAGTGTGGGGGCTTGCAGAGAACCAAATGGGGATTAGGCACCATGCTTTGGACAGGGGACAGGAAGGACAGACAACTGTGAGCTTTGTATCTGGGCAGCGCCCGGCGCGGAGAGAGAGAGAGAAAGGACCGACCGTCTGACCAGGTGGGCAGGGAGGTTGGCAGAGAGCAGAGTGTGTTGGGGAGGTGTCTGTGTCTGTGTGTGTGTGTGGGGTGCCCCCCAGCCCCACTTGTCACGGGGCCCATGGCGGCCTCCCAGCTGGACTGCCTGGAGGACGCCCCCGCAGGGAACCCAGTGAATGAATCCAGCCCCGAATTCTTCTACTCGGAGGGGCAGCGGTTGGCTGTGGAGGCCCTGCTGGCCGGAGGGCAGTCGGCCTACGCGCAGCGCCTGGCGCAGGACCGGCTGCGCCCCTTCCTGTCCGATGACGAGCTCCGGCACCTGGCCGAGGGGGCCCGGGACATCCCCGAGCCGGCAGGGGAGCAGGACGGGGATGCCGACGAGCTCAGCCTCAGCTACTGGCCCGGCTGCTCGGACGAGCCCATCCCTGAACTGGAGCTGGGCTGGCCCCTGGATGGGAACTGGAAGGGCACCACCTGCGTGGAGGTCTACACCCACCCGCCGGGGGACGGGGCCCCCAAGGTCAAGGAGCTGGTGCGCAGGAAAATTCAGCAGGCTGCCAAGGTAACGGGGAGCCAGGACGCCTGGGTTCTTTCCCCGGCTCTGGGAGGGGAGTGGGGTCTAGTGGTTGGAGCCCAGGTGCTGGGGGCTAGGACGCCTGGGTTCTCTCCCCGGCTCTGGGAGGGGAGTGGTGTTAGACCTCTTGGTGGGAGTCCCAGGGGAATGATACCGAGGGCTGGGAGCCTAACGTACCCTGCTCAGTCTCCCGCCCCCGAGCCGGCCAGTCTCTGCCCTGGGGCCGGGTGGGAGTTGGTGCCCCCTGGAGGCCATGTGCGTAGCTCTTTGTGGGGTGTTCCCCAGGTGGTTGCCGTAGTGATGGACGTCTTCACGGACCCCGATATCCTGCTGGATCTGCACGAGGCCGGCATGCAGCGCGGGGTCCCTGTGTACCTGATCCTGGGGGAGCAGCACCTGGCCGCCTTCCTCAGCATGGCCGAGGGGGCCTGCCTCAATGTGTACTATATGGAGGTGAGGCCTGGCTCCTGCAGCCCAGCGCCCCCTAGTGCTGCACTGGGGCAGCGGGAAGAGCCCTGACTGCTAGGGCAGAGCGCTCCCTGCTGCCCCCCGGGAGGGGTAGGGACTGCAAGGGAGAAAAGCGGGGGGGGGGGGGGGAATCGGTGGCTGGGATCCAGAGATCTGGGGGCGTTTGGCTACCTGCCCTGGGGGTGGGGATCCCACAAATGTTGCTGAGGCCCCAGCTCCTGATTTTGTGCCCCCTCCTCGCCCCACCCCCCCAGAACCTGCGGGTCCGGGTCATTGCGGGCTGCACCTTCTGGAGCCGAAAGCGCAAACAGGTCACTGGGACCCTGAAGGAGAAATTCCTGCTGATTGACGGGGACACAGTGATAACAGGGAGCTACAGGTGAGGCTGGGGAGGGGTGGGGGGCATCAGGGATGAATGGGAGGGGAGAGCACCTCCGCCTGGGCCCCCCCCCCCGCTCCCTGCAGCACCAGGGGGTTTCCTTTAGCGTCTCCCATCTTGTCCCAGCCCAGAGGGGCCTTCTCCACTCCAGGTGAGGGGTCCCTGTACAACCAGACCCTGCTCCCCACCCCAGAGGGGCCGCATCTCTGTGTCTGCAATGGGGTGGGCGGTTGTGTGATGGGGATGGACCCGTTCCGGCTGGGCAGCGAGGCTAAGAATGTATTGAACTCAGTTCACGAGTGGTGAGAAAAGCTCTCGGTTTAAGCAGTGTGGGATGCATGGATCATACGGGGCAGTGTGGGTGCTGGTGGGGGTGTGTGTGAGATATGCCACCCCTTTGTGCTTTGCAGAAGGGAGAGCGCCCCCTGACAAGGGGTCAGCACCCGCATGCTGCAGAAGGAATCCTGCGGCAGAGTGTGGGGAAGGGACCAGACCCCCTAGATCCCGCAATGGGTTGGGGCTGAGATGGAGATAGAACCCAGGAGTCCTGGCTCCCAGCCCCCCTCCTCCAACCACTAGACCTCCTCCCCTCCCAGAGCCAGGGAGAGAACCCAGGAGTCCTGGCTCCCAGCCCCCCTCCTCCAACCACTAGACCTCCTCCCCTCCCAGAGCCAGGGAGAGAACCCAGGAGTCCTGGCTCCCAGCCCCCTCCACTCTAACCACTAGACTCTCTTTAGCTGATGACTCTATCACTCCTCTCTCTGGGCTCCAGACCTCATGGTGACATCACTCTCTGTGACATCATTCACTGTGACATCACCAGGCTCTGGCTGGAATGGGCCAATGAGAATCTTGCAGCCTTATTGTGAGGTCATCGCTGCTGGGCTACTCATTCTGGGCAGGGGGTCTCGGGGAAGCATTGAGCTCTCTGCAGTGGCCGCGGCCAGTAGCCCACAGCGACCCGGTTAGGGACAGGCACGTTCGGAGGGACTGGGAATCCGGACCCTCCAGCCAGACCCGCGTTCTGAACTCGCCGAGTCCTCGCGGCTCCCACCAGGTTCTGGAGTGACTGGAGCCGAGCAATTGGGATCCAGCTCGTTCCCTGGTTCTGACGTCCCTGGAGCCAGGAGATCTGGATCCAGACTCCGGTTCTGACGTCCCTGGAGCCAGGAGATCCGGATCCAGACCCTGGTTCTGCCATTCCCAGAGCAGCCCGGATCCAGACTCCGGTTCTGAAGTCGCTGAGTCAGGAGGGCCGGGATCTGGTCGTGACGTCCCCAGCGTGGCCCGGATCCAGACTCCGGTTCTGCCCTCCCCGTCTGTGCGATCACCCCACTGCTCTCATGCTCCTCCTGCTGGCTCTGTCTCTCCTGTTGGCGCTGCCCGGCGCCAGCCCCAAGGAGTGCTTCTTCTGCGAGGTGACCTCCTCCCGCTACTGCCCCAGCACCCGGATGAGCTGCGCCCCGGACGAGGACTGCTTCGTGGGGCATGGTGCCGCCCTGGGGGTCTCCCTCATCCAGACCAAGGGCTGCACCCGGGCCATCCGCTGCGGCAAGGAGCACCCCGTCACCCACATGGGAGTGACCTACAGCCTGGTCACCCAGTGCTGCAAGGGCAGCCTGTGTAACGGGGCCGTCGCCCCCCCCCCCGAGGGCCCGGCCTGGGCCTGCAGCTGGTGCTGGGCACGGCCGTCCTGCTGGGGGCGCTGTGAGAGACTGGGGGGTGGGGTGGGGGAAGAGGCGTTGGAGGAATAAAGCCCTGGCACGGGGCGACGGCTGGTGTGGTTGTCTCGCGCCGAGCTGGGGCGGCGGGGGTCCAGGGTTGGGGTGGATCAAACAGGGCGGGGGGACAGGACAGCAGGAAGTGAGAACTGGGAATAGGACCCAGGCATCTGGGGGTGCATGCAGAGTCGCGGGGGATGGGAAGGGCAGCGGGGGGAATGGCAAACTGGGACTGGAACCCAGGCGTCCGGGGGTGAATGCAGAGTCATGGGGAGATGGGAAGGGGAGCGGGGGGAATGGCAAACTGGGAGTAGAACCCAGGCATCCAGGGATATACTTCCCCTCCCCCGTTTGCTGTGACCCCCCCACCCCATGTCACACCCGTGCCACATTGGCTCTTTGGGACAAGGACCGTCTTTGCGTTCGCACTACAGGAATCGGCCCCATGATCGGTGCCCACGAACCCCGGCGTCCGGGCCCAATCCCAGCTGGGCCTGTGGCCGTCCGCGTCCCTCAGTGCCCCCTGCCTCCGGGGCCTCGGGGCGTAGGGACGAGGTGAGCGATTGCTGTGCCCCACCCCCAGAGGGGACGCGTGTCCGCGCTGGGCAGGGGGTCCCGATGTAACCAGCCCCCGGGCCCGCCCCAGAGGTGGTCGCCCCTGAGCACCGGGAGTCGGGTGCAGCGACGCCGCTGTTCACACTCCCCTGAGCAGACGCTCTCCTGTGGGGAAGGTGCCATTTGCCCCGGGGGGCAGGGTGCCCCCCATTTCCTAGCCTTTTATTTGCCTTGGGGATGTTTCCAATTGTGTTTGTTCAGAATGTTTAATTTTTCTCATTGTCTCCCCGTGTCCCCTGCACCCCACTTGCCCCTTCCCCATCCCCCTGCACCCCACTCACCCGGCCCCCACCCTGCTATCCTCTGGCCCCTCTCCCATCCCTCCTGCACCCTACTATCCCCCACTGGTCCCTCCTCCTGCACCCTGCTCCCCCCTATTCACCCCTGCACCCCCACTATCCCCCACTTGCCCCTCCCCCCACCCCCATGCACCCCACTCACCCTATCCTCTGGCCCCTCCCCCACCCATCCTGCACCCACTATCCCCTATTTGCCCCTGCACCCCACTATCCCCTCCCTCACCCCTCCTCCACCCCACTCTCCTCCCTTCCCTTGCACACCCTGCTATCTTCCTTCCCCTGCCCCACTCTCTCCTGCACCCCCCCATCCCTACACCACCCCGCAGCTTCACGTGGAGCGACGCCCGGCTGAGCCGCCAGCTGGTGACGCTGCTGACGGGCGAGATCGCCGGGGCCTTCGACCACGAGTTCCGGACCCTCTATGCCGCCTCCCGCCCGCTGGCGCCTGCCCGGGCCCCCCTGCTCGGCCCCCCGGCCCCGCCCCGGGACGGCCGCCCCAACGGGCAGCCTGCCCCCTACCGCAGCGAGCTGGGCGGGCTGCAGCTCTCCAAGAGGGCGCCCACCGGGTGGCCGAGCGCCGCTCCGTGGCCCCCCAGCCCGTGGCCAAGAGCCGGGCTGGGGAGTGGGAGCTGGTGCGGGCCACCCGGGCCATGGCCGGCGACGAGCACCCGGCCCTGCCCCGGCGCCTGGGCCCCGAGGGCCACAGCGCCCTGAGCGACGTGGACCAGGGTGGCCAGCCGGGCCGGCTGGCAGGCGCCGTGGGGCAGAGACCTAGCAAGTCCCTCTGGGACCTGAGCCGCCTCTCCCAGCTCTCCGGTTCCAGCGACGGCCTCGAGCCGGGGGACGAGGCGAAGGTGAGCGGGCAGCGCCAGGCCAGGGGGAGGCCTGTGTATCCTGGGGCACAGGACTGGGGATTTGGGGGGTTCACTATATCCTGGGGGTCAGGGCTGGGGGTCAGGGGGCCCTGTGTATCCTGGGGGGCAGGGCTGGGGATTGGAGCCTCTGTATCCTGGGGTGCAGGACTTGGGACTAGGGGGGTTCACTGTATATCCTGGGGGGCAGGTCTTGGGATTAGGGGTTCCATCTGTATCCCAGGGGGCAGGGCTTAGGTTGTGGGGGTCCCTATGTATCCTGGGGGCAGGCCTGGGGATTAGGGGGGTCCTGTGTATCCCAGGGGAACAGGGTTTGGGGATTAGGGGGGTTTGTGTATCTCAGGGTGGGGACACGGTTGGGGCCCCTTTGTGTCCTAGGGTGGGGGCAGACCTGGGAGCCCAAGGCTGGAGATTGCCCCACCCCCCTTGCGTCCCAGGCAGGGCTGGGGGGTGGCATGATGCCCCCCCCCGCATCTCCAGTCCCGGCTGCGCCCTGGGCCCTGCCTTAATGCAACATCTCCTCCGCCCTGGGTCAATATTGACCCAGGCGCCGCTCCCAGCTCTGCCCCATGGGGCCTTTGCCCTCCCTGGGCAAGCTGTGGGGCCGAGGGGGACCAGCGCCTGTCCCCCAGCCCCTGACACCCCCTTAATTCCCATCTGCATCTCTCCTGCTCCAGTGTCGTCTCCTCTCCCTTTCCTCCTTCCCTCCCTCGCCCCTGGCTTTTCTCCATCCTCTCTTCTCCTTTGCTGCCCCTGCCCAAGGACCTGCCATTGGGGGCTGGGGCGGGGGGGCATACGAGGGGGGAAGGCACTGCGGGATCCTGCCCCCTGCCCCGCCGTGCTGGGGGACCCTGGGGTGGGGTGGAGAAATGCTGGGGGGCAGGGTGTACCATGGCAGGGACCCACCAGAAAGATCTGGGGGGGGATTCAGGGATGGAAGGTATACAGGGACCCACTGGGGGGGAAGATAAGGGTAAAGGCTTAGAGGGATTTGGGGGGCACTGGGGGGGCAGATGGAGCTGCTGGAAGGGGCTGGGACATGGGCAGGAGTGCCCCAAGGGGGGCATAGCAGGGGGGAGAGGTTTGGGGGTCAGAGGGGCGGGACTGGGGTGCTCCCAGATAGCACTAACTCTCCCTTGGGGGGCTTCCCCCTATTCCTTTCCCCCCCACAGGGCAAGCACAAGTGGGGCCTGCAGGACACGCCAGCCCGGGCGCTGATGAGGCGGAGGGGCGCCCCCCCGGCCGGCGAGGAGCCCCGCCCTGCCCCCCTCTTTCTGTCGCCCGCCTACATGCCCCCGCCGCAGGGCTTCCGGGCCTTGGGCCGGCTGCAGGGGCAGCTCTACCATGGGGCCTCGGCCCTGCCCCGGGTCTGGGGGGCCCCCCACGGCTACAGCAGGGAGCGTCGCTATTGACCGGGCAGCTACCGGTATCGGCCGGCCGGGGGGGGGCGCAGCTGAGAGAGACCCCCCCCATCTCCCCAGGCTGCCCCCAACTGGGGTAGGCCCATCGGTTACCCTGGACCCAGCGGGAGCAGGAAGGAGTTACACGGGGGGGAGTCGGGGCCGGCCTATGGGCTGGACTGGAACCCCCTGCATGCGCCGGGCCCCATTTTCAGCCCGGGGCTGAACCGGTGAGGCTGGGAAGTCCCTGGAATCAAGCCGACACTGGGAGCCACGGTCCTGGAGTCATTGGGAGGAACGGGCGGGCCTGGAGGGGGCCAGGGCTCGCTGTTCTGCAGCCCTGCGGGCGGGCGAGTACGGATTATACGGGGACACGAAAGCGGGAGGTGGAGGATGATTGGGGGCAGCTCAGCACCACACAGGGCATGCGCCCCCCGGCACAGCTGGTATGACAGTGTGTAGGGCGGGGGGGGGGGGCGCGCTGATTAAACTGGCATTACCTGGGAGTGCAGATTTCCTCCCCTGCCTCCGGGTGAACTGGGCTCAGCCCTAGCAGCTATGGGGGTGCTGGAGCGTTAATGGGCTCAGCTGGGACAGGGCTAGGGGAAGCCCCCGGGGCATTTCCAGGCACCACTGGGGGCTATACTGGGCTGTCCAGTGCTGCACCGGCAGGCTGGGAAGCAACGCTCTGAAGGAGCCAGAGCCCAAGCAACTAGGTCAAGAACTGGGTTTTAATGGGGTCTAGTGGTTGGGGCAGGGGAGTCTAGTGGTTAGAGCAGGGGGGACTGGGAAGCTGGGTTCTGTTGCCAGCTGGCACGCTGCTGAGGGATAATAATTATGTACAAACCACCACAACAAGGGGCTTTTCCAGTTGAAAGAGGGAGTTTTTGTTTCCTTGCGGCATTTACCCTGCACCTGCTGGTTTGGGACCCTGAAGCAGGGGCCCATCAGGGCTAAAGCCCCAGCTCCCGGAGTCATGAGACCTTTGTTGGGTCTCTACTGGCAATTAACAAGGCCCCTCTTGGCCTCTGGGGCTTGGGAAGAAAAGTGGCAGGGGAAGAAATATGACCAACCCTTGCCAGAGTCTGAGGGTGCTTGAGCCGACTACTCCCTGCTGGGGGACTTGCTCTAGGGGTGGGGCCTTCACTCCCAGCTCCACTGCTCTGGGCCTCTGTGGGAGAGAAGGGAAAAAGCCCCTCACATTCCCGCATCAGACAAATCACAGGGCTGCCAATTGTAGGTGGGAGGAGACCACCCCCCCTGCAGGGGTATCCCCTCAGCCCCTCCCCCCACACCAAGTGGCTCTGGCCCCACAAGGAGAGAGGCAGGGGTGGGAGCCTGGGGGCCCTTGCCTCTGCATCAGACTCGCTGCGCCCGGCCTCTTGGCTCCCTCCAACACTCCCAGCTTGGGGGGCAGCACTCCCCCCAGTGGAAGGTCAGCAGGAGTTGGGGTCCATTGGGCTGCAGAGAAGAAAAACGGGGAGGTGGGCTCAGGGAGAGGCAGTGGGACCCTAAAAATGGGACCACAGGCCCCTCCAACATCCTCCCAGCCTCTCCCCCTGCCACTTCTGGGCTCTTACCACTTTATAAGCACCAGAGCCAACATCTACTTTCCACAGGGGTAACAACCTACTACTGCTGCCGGCAGCAGACACACACAGCCATTTGGGTCACACTCCAGGCTTGTTGAGAGAAGTGTGGGGCTATGTTTGCTGAGGCCCCACCCATTTCACTCCCATTATAGGCAATTTGTGGGGGGCCCAAAGCCCTCGTTCCACTGTCCCCACTTTTATCATCCCTGGAC